GGAGTAGAGTCCGGTCCTCGCCAGTACCAAGGAATCTCCAAGCACGACATGAAGGAGATGGGTGCTGAGGAGATTGCGAGGGCCCTCGCCATCCACAACGTACCCTGGGACCGGTCCGATGAGAAGCGGTGGGTTGTTGACTTTGTAGCGGTCTGCAAAGCTTTCCTGTAAGCCTACCACCCCAACCTTGCCTGACGCGATGTTGACTATGACAGATCATCTTGGTACCCTGCCCACTACGGCTATGCTTCGCACGCCATCAAGAACGCTTGTCAAGTGCCCCGCTCTTTCTTCAGATATCTTCGCTTTCACCGTGTCTGCCCCGAGTTCGACGATCAGCTTGCCACTGCGCTCCAAATCTGTGACCAGGCCGAGCGGGAGCTCCCCAAGGTCAACTCCGTAGGTCTTGCCCTACCCGGAGACTTCAACAAGTCCGCTAGCGTTGTCTTCGGTGGCGCTCAGGCCGACATATATACTGGCGACAAGTCGTGGGCTGAGGACCTCAAGAAGGAAGGCCTGACTGTTTCCGAGATCGGTATCCGGAAGGAAGAGGCCAGGGTCAAGTTCGGTACTGGCATCGCGGTTCTGGGCTCGGATGCGCAGTACGATATGTTCGAGTCTGGAGATCTGCAGGTTCTCAGCAAAGAGACTGCCTATCTTGAGGTCACCGCCGTTCAACTCCCTGACGACGACACGAAGTCCGCATATGCAGAGCAGAGCAAGCTCTTCAAACACAAGCTCGGCCAGCTTGAACCTCTCGGCAAGCTCCTGTGCAAGACCTGGTACACGGATGACTGTGATGAGTGGGACCTACCCAAGGACAACAGCAAGTATCCCAACGGCAAGCCGCGCAAAGCTGGCGACGGCAAAGAGTACGAATTCTGGATTGAGGAAGACATCATCAAGGACTGTTTCGTGGGTCTGAAGATGGACGCCAACATCATGCACCTCACCGGCGGCATGACCATTCTCGACGACATCAAGGAGACCATGTGCAGCTTCTATACCTGGATCCCGAACGAGCTCTGGATGGAGCGGAAGCCCAAGGAAGTGCGCTGGTTGAAGAAGGGCATGGGTCTCGATGATGACGAGGATGAGGCTGAGATTGATGGCTCGAACAAGGAGAGTGCGGATAAGATCGCTTCCGGCGACGAGTTTGACGATGAGTAGACGGGTAGGCGAAGGCAAGCCGATAAATTCTCGTGGAGATGATGTGATGAAACGGTAGTTCGAGATACTTTGGTCGGGTCTTGTACCCAGCTGCTTAGGGTGATTCAAGGTTTGGCTCGAAAACTAAGATCTCAAGGGGGAAATTCACGATGTTTCTCCAGTTTTGCCAAGGTTCCCTCATAATACGTAATCTATCGTGAAATCGGTGACAAGATACAGTGCATCTCAATAAACTTAGGCTACACGCCTAGAACTTTCTCGATCCTAAACAAGTGGCGTTCATCGCGAAAGGTAGTGCATTCTGCGTTTGCGCAGGCCACAGGGACGCGCCTGTTCCCATGTTTGGCGTGCCTGCGCCACACCTGGACGCCTCAGTTTCACAAGAACGTACTCGCTGGCCTTTAGCCAGGACAACACCACAACACAGAAACCAGGCACGTAGCCCAAGGCCGAACGATCCGCCGATAATATCGCGCAACGAAGAAATGCCACGGCTCACGTTTGCATCGGGATATTACTTGGCCGCGACGACTATACACCACAAAGACACTTGGACGACGCCTCAACACCACGCCGTAGGGTCTGGTAAGACGCGAAGTCCCGGCGTGCGGCTACTTCGGCGAGCGGCCTCATTGCCAACACATTGGCAGCGACACACGCCATGGCTTTCGTTGGTTTGCCAAGGCCACGCCGGCGGATCATGTGGTAATTCCTGACGCGTGTGCTTGCTCCCGGGCCTTTCGTTCGAGGGTGCAACCGTGAAAGAGCGAGGTACGACTACGTGTGTGTACCGAGTTAATATCAAAGGGAGATGTACCTGGGTCGGTAGCAGTAGTGCGCGCGGCACTGCGTTGCATGGTGTGTATACCCGCCTTATCCGTCTCCCGTCTCGCATTAAAGACGTAAGTGTCGCGGGTTACCCGGCCCTACCTAGCCAGCACATGTGAGACGGACTGGGGACGTGGGAGCTGGAGGAAAGGAGACGCGCAGTGCGTGCGGAGTGGAAAGGGCCAGGGACCGCCAAGGCCTTGAGCGCTCTTAGCAAGCGGAGAACGCAGGCGGGCGTGGCTTGGGTAAAACGTGCGTTACCGCCGCCTTTTGTTATCTGGGTCGCTTCTCCGCTGGCTCTTTTCCCTGGTGTTCGAGCATGCCCTTTTGCGACGAGGTTGCTGTACCACGACGTTGTGGCGTTACCATCACTGCGACCGCGACTGGGACATGAGCGACGCGCCATCGGCATTTGCGAAAGAGCGACCATTACGACTACTGGGGCTGCCGTGATCGACGAACGACTACGCTCGGAGATTTAAACAGGTGGACCTGTGCGGAGCGGGATATGTCTGCTAAGATGCACGTCGTGAGCGCAGTCTTAGACGCGCGATCGAGTATGGGGTTGCCAAATCGGGCTCAAGTTGGTATGTTCGTCCCCGTCTGCTACTACTCAGCAACGCAACATCGTCGCTGACCACATCGCAGGCCAAAATTTCCTGAACCCTTACATCTACGACCCTTCTTACCCCCTGGCTATAACAGGCGCAATTGTCGTCCTGTTACTTTCCACATACTCGATTTACCAATATGTCCGCCACAAGGCGTACTTCTTCTGGGCGGCCATCATCGCCATTATCATGCTCGATCTGGGCTTCATATGCCGCTTAGTATCTGCCTACGACGAGCACAGAGAGTCGCCCTTCCTCGCCTCATGGCTCATGATCTTGCTCGCACCCAGCTTCCTGGCTGCAGCATGCTACACGGCATTCAGTCGCGTAGTATGGTTTTCCTGCCCAACCCACGCGCTCAACTTCAAAACGCTGTGGTGCTTCCCTAGGTGGATTACCGCCAACTTTGTGTGTTTCGACCTTCTCAGTTTCCTCGTCCAACTCGTCGGCGCGAGTCAGATTAGTCGGCAGTATGATGAAGACACGCAAGGAAACCGGACCATTGCTGCTTCGGAACGGAAAGCGCTGCCTGGTCGGATCATCCTCATCATGGGTCTGGTGATGCAACTGCTGTGTTTCCTCAGCTTCTCCATCATCAGCATGCGGTACTTCTACATTAGCCGGCATTGGGCTGCACACGACCTTGGAGATTTGCACCTTTGGCGGAAACTGGGGTATACCATCAATCTCTCCTCCGTCCTTATCGCCTGCCGGGCATTCTATCGAACCATCGAGATACCACACGATCGCAACTACGGGCTAGCTTATCTTCAGAGTCACGAATGGTGCTTCTGGGTGTTCGATGCCGCGCCCATACTTGCTGTGCTAGTCGTGTTCGCTGTGTGGCATCCGGGTCGTTATCTGCCGAGAAGCTATACAGGGTGCAGACTGGACAAGGGCAGGGCTGTTAAAGAGAAGGATGAGATCAGTTCGATGAACGGTGGTAGTAGTGGACGGGAGACCGAGCTGAGAGACTTCAAGCCCGAGGACTTCCAGACTGGAAGGGTCGCAACGAACGTGTAAGATTTTGAAACGCGGATGAAGAGATTGTTTGTTCATGATACCATTGCATTTAGCGGGAGGCGCTTTGAAGCGCCATCGGGATGATACCATACTCAATGACATAATTGCATGCCCACTTTGACTGTGTCTTTCGACTTGTGGCTCTTCGCCATATCTGTGTTGATAGAAGTGTGATTCCTTCTCATTCCTCTTGCCGCCCATCGTCTCCTTCGTTTCGGAGCACATCTCGCACAACGACATGCATTGCTGGTGCAGGCCGCTTGTTGGCTAGTCTCTGAGCCTCATACTGGAGTGACTGCATGACCGGTAATGCTGTCGGTCGGCTCATGAACTCCAGAGAGCTGTAGGTCCTCGGGCTCGTCTCTGGGTTGGTATCGGAATTTTCACCAGATGGTAATGTGCTCTCTTCATATGTCGGGCTGGTAGTGCATCCTGAACTTCTTGTTCGCGCGATCAGCCGCTCTTGTCTGGAATTGTTCGGCGTTGAGCTCAAAGACCAGTGGCTTCATGGGCTCCTTTCCTTCTTCGACCGGAAGCGGCAACTCAAAGCGAATGATAGTGTGTTCCTTGGGTATAGCTGAGATTGTCAGATACTTACCACTTACCTGAGTCTAGCCTACAGGACTTACATTTCACAGCGTTATTCTTCGTGATGATCTCGAATGTAAATCTCGTATCACGGACGATGATGCCCTCCAAGCCTACGCGGCTCACGCAGCGGCTTCTCACCACACTCACAAGCGCACCGTGCATGTCGGCAGTCGCAAGCAGTTGCCCACTTGCGTTTGGCGTGACAAGCACATTCCTCGCAGCGTCGTTCAGGCCTAGCACCTCCCGCATGTATCCCACCCACAAATTGTGTAATCCGTCGTAGATGGCATACTTCTGTTGCTCCTTGGGTATCTCGTTCAGGCACAATGCACGTTTCTTCGCAGCGGATAGCGGACGGGGCTGGTTCTTGCTGCGCTTCCTGGCGGCTTGTTTGCGCTCGTTGAGAGCGCGGCGGCGGACTGCGCGTGCAGACGGCGTAGGCGAGGTTGCGCGAACGTGGAGGGGGCGCTTTATGACGCGCTCATGGTAGTGTGATTCTGCAGTCGAAGGAGAAAATGCGCGATGTAGCAGCGTCTGCGCAATGTGTGGATTTGCGTCTGCCATTTTGAGTCCGGTATCGCGGTAGCAAAAGTCGCAACTCGTCGGGATGGAAGTTGGTGTTCTTCGACATGACGAGGAAGACGGCGGCACTAGTGCGCACAAAAGCGGGCTAGAGCGGTGGCTCGGCTATCGTTTTGTCCGCGCTGCCTCCCACACAATTTCGACAATTCGACCTCAGCTTCTCGACAACACCGCTAACCCGCAGCAACCGTCAAGATGAAGTACATGTACGTCTATCCCTCGATCACGACTCCCAAGCCGCCGCATCGCACGTTTTTCCCTGCCTCCGAACGGTCAATGGACGCCTCTATACCGAACTTCTCCGCCAACAAACATCAAATTCCGGATCCAATGCTGACGTTTGCGCAACAGCCACTCTGAGGAAGAGCTCGAGATCCCCGAGGGCGTCAAGGTCCAGATCAAGAACAGAAATGTTCTCGTTGAGGGTGAGTGCGCATGGTAGAGGACCCCTAGAGAAACAACACTGACATATCCAACAGGCCCTCGCGTAAGCCGCCCGCAATAGCCTCTACGATCCTCGAACCGATTCTTACACTCCACAGGGCAAGCTCACAAAGTCTCTCGGTCACTTGGCGGTCAGCTTCACGCACGTACGTTTGGAACACACACAACGCATCGGGGGCACATGCTAAGACTGGAACAGCCCAAGAAGAACCTCATCAAGATCGAGCTCCACCACGGTTCCCGCAAGAGCGTCGCCACCCTCCGCACTGTCCGCACCCTGATTGTACGTCGCGCGCACCCTCGAGTCTATACTGGCAAGGAAGGAAGGACTGGGCTGACTGGAGTAGAACAACTTGATCATCGGTGTCACCAAGGGTTACAAGTACAAGATGCGTTACGTATATGCCCAGTATGTCGCACCCATCGCACATCTCTTCCGAGCCCGCCGTCGAGCATGTTCTATCCGACACAACTTTCAGCGCTCTCCGAGAGGCTGATGCCAGAGCGCTGGGCGCGCCAGATTGGCTCATGCTCTTGGCGGGCCTTTGCACATCTTTGAACATGACTAACATCATGTCCAGTTTCCCCATCAACGTCAACCTGGACAAGAACAAGGAGACCGACTGCTGGGAGGTTGAGATCAGGAACTTCATCGGCGAGAAGCTCGTACGAAGGGTCGTCATGAGGCCCGGTGTTGAGGTTGAGGCATCAAAGAACCAGAAGGATCAGCTCGAGCTGTCCGGAAACGTAAGGACCGCTGCGCAATATGGATCGAAGCAATGCTAACCATCACCCAGTCGCTCGAGGACGTCTCCCAAGGTGCCGCCGATATCCAGCAAATCTGCAAGGTCCGCAACAAGGATATCCGAAAGTTCTTGGACGGTCTGTACGTGTCGGAGCGCGGCAACATCGTTGAGGACGCGTAAACGGTTCTGGGGAGTACGGGTTTCTTTACGGGCAATGAGCATCTATGAACTTCTCTGCATCATATGCGGTTGGCGCCTGGGGGTCTAAGATCAAAAACGATGTTCAAACAATACCACCATGACTTGATGGAATCGCGCCGGCACATTCACGATGAAGTGTGAGGTGATGAGAGGTCAATAAGATCAGTACTTGCCAAGAGACATGAACGATCTAAACTCACTTCAACACAACTGCGACTGCTTTTTGGCCTTTGGTGATGTTGCATGGTGTGAGCCCGTGCCTGAGGAGTCCAGCCTAGCACACTATGAATGAGATCACATTACGAGTAAGCATGAATCTGATGATCATTCGGTTCCATCTCTCTATCCATGCACGAAGAGACGCCTCCTGCCTCTTTTGGCGGCTGGACTGTCCGCGGATGTGGGATTTCCACATGACGTATCCATGGCGGCTCGTCGTGCCTGAACCCCGCATCGTTGTTCGTTGTAATATCTACCACCGGGACAATGATGAGGCTATCGCCGCAAAGCCCGACAATGACAGCTCATTGTAACCTCGATTGGAAAGCAGGTGGTGCAGGCACGGCGAAAGTGCCGTCATGGCGAAATATATGAGCACCGTGTCGCCCATACAGCTGTTGGTTTATTCACACCTCAGTTGCTTGCCCCACCACAGCCCTACGAAACATCAAGGACCCCACTAAACACCAATCCGCAACCGATCTACTGATTTGCGACCATGACGGACAAGCTCAATATCGAAGGGCTCCTCAAGGAGTCCAAGGCTGAATATAAGCGCTTGGGAAAGAGCGGTCTCAAGGTCTCGGTACCCATCTTGGGTGCTATGAGCATTGGAAGTTCCAAATGGCAGCCCTGGGTCATCGAAGAGGAAGAGTCGCTACCGCTGCTGAAGGCTGCATACGATCGCGGTCTGACGACTTGGGATACAGGTAAGACTGACAGAGCAGTCATGTACTTGCAACAGTTACTGACAGCTTATAAAGCCAATGTTTACTCCAACGGTGTATCTGAGGAACTGGTTGGCAAGGCCATCAAGAAGTACAACCTACCTCGCGATAAGCTAGTAATTCTCACCAAATGCTTTGGCTACGTCGGCGAGGACCCCGGTCTGCGAACCATCCAGTACGGCAAAGAGCTGCCTCAGTTGAAAGACTATGTAAACCAAGGTGGTCTCTCACGGCAGGCCATCTTCAACGCTGTCAATGCGTCGCTTAAGCGTCTTGACATGGACTATATCGATCTTCTGCAGATTCACCGCTTCGATCCAAACACGCCTCTGGAGGAGACCATGGAGGCGCTGCACGATCTGGTCAAGAGTGGGAAAGTTCGATACATCGGTGCTAGCTCCATGTGGGCAGTGCAGTTTGCGCAAATGCAGTTCACTGCTGAAAAGAACGGCTGGACAAAGTTCATCAGCATGCAGAACCACTACAACCTGCTCTACCGTGAGGAAGAGCGCGAGATGAACCGGTTCTGCAATGACACTGGTGTTGGTCTGATCCCGGTATGCTTTTCTTTCAACTACAAAGTCAATCTTTAGCTAACAGCTTGACAGTGGGCACCTCTTTGCCGTGGCCATCTCGCTCGCCCTCCCTCTGCATTTGGCTCGACTACTCGCTCAGAAGGCGAACAGAAGGCCGGTAACCAAACCTCTGGTAACACTGAACTTGACAAGGAGATCATTGCTCGCGTTGAAGAGATCGCGAAGAAGCATGACTGGAAAATGAGCCACGTTGCCCTCGCATGGATCAACAAGCGTGTCGCAAGTCCAATCATCGGCTTCTCCAGCACAGACAGGATGGATGAAGCGCTTGCAGCGAGGGGCAAGGAGTTGACTGAGGAGGAGGAGAAGTACCTCGAGGAGTTATACGAGCCCGTTAGGATTGTTGGGCATTCATAGGCAGATCATACAATAACATCGATAATAGCGGTCGGAGCCAACAAGCGATATATCAATCAATGTTGCGGTGTCAAATGCGAAGTCATCATGCATCTATATTGCTTTTCCAAGTGAGTAATTACAAAGTCCACATGGATACCTAGGTACCTAGGCAGCCCAGATCATCTCGCGAAAGTGAACAGTCCAGTAGAACGCTGACATGCATCTCCGCGTGGACCTTGAGCCCTTGCAGTAATCAAGTGGATCTCTGATTCACTCGGACCGCATTAGGGCCCGGAGCTGAGATGATACGCGTCGATGCGCGCTTTGTCCAGCGCCGAGCGGCCAATGACGTCGGTCACGCGATCTATCTCACCACCGTGCCTGATGTTCCGGAGCAACAACATAACGGCAATAGATACTTGGGAAGGTCAAAGTGCGAATAACGAGGCTCAATTGCTAGCTTCCACACTATCTCGAACTCTTTCGGCCAACAATGTTGGATGGACACGCAGGCCTCCACCGTTGGTTTGCTCCTTCCCCGCATTCTGGGTGATGCTCCCCTTCCCCGCATTGGCCCGACCATTCACGTCTCACGCCGATTGGATTGGACCACAATGTGGTGATCGATCAAGTGACCGTCTCCTGTGCCTGCCGGCGAGAGACTGAGCCCCTCATAAGCTGCGCCCTCCCTCGTTTCCTCTCCTTCCTCACAGCCTCCACTGTGCTTTCGTATCTCACATCACATCCACAGCTCCAGGCAACCCTTCTGCAGCTTCCCAAGCTCTTTCATCATCTACAACCCCTTCAATCTTCCAGTAGCTTGACTGCAACTGCATCCTACCACAATGGCCGCAGAGACAGAAAACACGCTCCAGAAGGTCGACTCTTTGACCGATCACCAAGATGGCGCCGCTAAGAAGGGCCACCGCAGAGTCAGCTCCATGGCTGCTGATGTCTACCGCATCGAAGATCTAGGTGAGTACCTCTTATGACGATAGCCCAAATGAGGGGTCGTGCGTGAGCAGCGGGCGGGGCTGACAGAACCTCAGAGAAGGAAGGCAAGAAGATCGAGATCGCACTCGAAACCCAGAAGCTGAACTGGTAAGTGATTCCCCTCATCGCATTGTTGCGAGCCATCCGACCATGATGCAGACCAGCTCGTCGTCGTCCGGATAGCTCCGGAAGCCCCAATATCTTGACCGTGCTAATGCAGTACTTCCAGGAAGCTCAACAAGTCGCCGAGCACCGTCGAAGACCCGTCAGTCTTGAAGATGCCACTCACCGAGCCCAAGCTCAAGTCCATCGCCCTCCACTTCCCGCTAGGATTAGAAGTTACCGCACGGAACATGAAGGGTGTAACCATCAAGGATGCACTAGATGCCATCCACAAGCAGTTCAAGAAGCGCGTAAGTGTCCCTTGTCATTGGATCTTACCATCGAGCATCGTTGTCGCTGTTCCTATATACCGCGTCCTTTGATCTTGGTGCCAAAGCATAGCTAACCCTCCTATAGGCAGACGACGAGTTCGAGAAGCCATACCTCATGGGCTTTGAGTGGGACCCAGAAGAGTGCTACACCCGCTTCATCGTCCACCAGTCGGCCGTTCCTACAGTAAAGAATGACTTCGGCTCAAGCAAGAAGAAGAAGAAGAACAAGGCCGAAGGCGAGGAGGGTTCCTAGATGAACGACTCGCCCCCTTCCCTGACGTCGACTTCTACACACAGCCTCAGTCATACTTCCGTGCTTCGGCGCTGGTATGTGCGGGGTACGGATAACTCGGGTGCTGGTCAATCTTCATATCGATATGGGAAGAGCGAGCGCATCTGCCGCGATGGCGTGTCTGGTATACTGTAGGCCTGCGTAGGTAGGCCATTTACTGGTTGCGGGTATCGAGCGGTGGATGCGTCGTGGAACCGTTCGTGGGGTACTTGCTGAAGGGCAGTACCCGCTTATGTATGCTCTCGGGCACTCTTTGGGGTTGCTGGAAAGCACTTCATACAATGAGAAGACCTGGTTACATGTCATGTCCTCGAAGCTGTCTGTGATGTCGTTTGTAAAGGTTTGACGTTGACTTGGGCGGACCCACCCTACTGCGGGCAGCTCTCCACCACGCTGTAAGCGAAGGCACGAGGGCACGTTGCGGCTTCCGCGATCACAATTGACTGTCCTTCCGTACCGTCTATGAACGCGTCTCACGTATGCGACTCATTGGGTGTTCATTTATCGCATCTAGTAGTGTCACATGTGCGACACGGTATATGCCTATGATGGCCGCTCAGCTGTCCTCAAATGGTGTAGCAAGTAGCCTTGCATTGGTAGCGCTGCAAGCGCTGGCGTTTCAGCACCCTTAGCATAAACCTTTGTCCTTCGACACCGTATTTTGAACATCAACTAATCAGTTTCGCTACCTCATCTAAACATATTTGTTTCTTTACACACGATTCCAGACGCCTACATACGCAGCCTACGCTCAAACGTTGTACGTGCAACATAGCCTAGCAGGAGGCCTACATACCGCCACAACAAACCAGCTCCCGGCACCCGCCTGTGTTTACTATCTGGAAACCGCGTCCATCAAATCACATATACATACCAATGCGATGTTCACAAACCTCCAGATACGGCCTGCCAAGACCCGACGCCGCAAGCCTAGCTTGTCTATTCGGGCTGGCGTCTCAAAGCGCAGGGTTTCCACTGTTTCGGCATTGAGTGCGAGCATTGTTCCGTCCGTGAGCTTCATGGAAGGCCTGTTTGGCGACGAATTCCCCGAGGCCTTCGGGAGCGGGGCCCAGAACAGGAAGACCATCACGGACTTGCCATCGGAACTTCTCGAAATCGTCTGCCAGCACATCTCAAAGCTCGACATCAAGCGACTGCGGCTCACGAGCAAGCATTTGGCGGCCAGCGTGTATCTGCGTATAGATCGCGTCTATATCTCGCCTAATCGAGCTAATCTGGACTATCTGCATCAGATCATGGCTCATCCGACGTACAAAAACCGTGTACTCGAGATTGTCTGGGATGATGCCTTGCTCAATGAGTATTCAACTGTGGATGACTTCCGCCACGCGGTTCTCGCCGACGAAAGAGAGGTTACCAGGGCGATTGAAAGCCGACTCGAAGAGGCCATGGAGCTCTACGGCGACGAAAACCCTGAGCATCGATCATTATCGGTGGCAGACCTAATCGAGGATGGTCGGCTGACCGAGATCGCAAAGGGCATTCTCTTGCGATATGACGACCACTTCTCAAGAGACGTTCTGGCTAGGAATGCCACAATGATGAGCATTGAAGACAGCTATGCGCTATACCAGGAGTTGTATCGTCAAGAACAGGAACTTGTGGAACAGCAGGTCGATGCAGCTGCATTACAAGAAGCACTAGCCAGCTTTCCAAACGTTAAAAGGATCACTGCAACGATCGACGTATGGCCTGCATGGAATGTATCGCCTCGGTACAACACGCCCTATCATCGTTCACTGCCTGGGGGCTTCCGCAAACCAACTGTCTGGCCATGGCTACGACCCCCTCAAGAGGCAGAGCGTATATACGATCAATGGTCCTCACGTGCCGCCAGATCGAAAGATAATGGAGAATCGTTACCCAGAGGTTATGGCGTCGTAGTTGCTGCGATCCTCGCCATGCCAAATCCGCGGATAGAAGAGTTCATCGTTGAATCAGAACACCAAGCGAGACAGTACCACCACTGCTTTGTCGCTAAAGCTGTTTCACACAACTACCAGATCACGAGACAAATGTTTCAGAGAACACCTCTGAAGCACGTCAAGTTGACAGTCACCCCTTCGAATGATTATTTATACGACGAAGAGAGCTTGACCAATCTCCAGTCTTTATTGGCTGAATTACAGTACCTCGAGCACCTCGACCTGAGTCTCAACGATAAGAGATCAGCTCGGACTCTGCGCCGGTTTCTGCAGTTTAATCCTATCCCAGAGGCGTTGAGACCGCAGTTGAAAACACTCACCTTGCGGAACATCAAGCTATCCCCACAGGACTTGCTCGATCTCTTCACGTCATCGATAAACTTACAGCACGTCACTTTGTATCATTGTTTCCAGCGCATACCACCACAGTATGGCTTTCCTTGGCTTTTCCATAAGCTCAGGAAGCATTACCGCGATACGAAGGATGTCAGTAAACCGAGGTTTAGGGTCGCAGCGCCCTTGTCCGGTCAGTACTCACAGGTTGTGGATGACGAGGTTGATGCCTTTGTGTACGACGAAGACGAGCCCGAGTGTCCATTTTCGAAGATGCCTCCTCCGGACAAGAAACCTAACGAGATTAAACCGCACATGGGATGGAAGGTCTGGGACAAGGATGAGAGTGTGAGGGAGCGGATGGCTGAGGTGATTGAGAGAGAGGAGATGCAAGAGAGGGATGAGGAGATGTAGTAGTGTAAATGGCACTCGCCCGAATGTCGAGAACCCCGAGTGTTGAGGACTACAAGCAAACTTTGGAGGTTTTGGTTCCCTGCCAGTGTCGAGTATGCGCCTCGGGTGCGCCTCCCGGTATTCACGGCGTCCGTGCATAACACGCCTACGTCTATAAGATCCAGCTAGGGGCTCTACACGGCTCACTCTCTAGCTTGAACTCATACTCGGCCTGCTTCAACTTGAAAACAAACACGTTGTCAACTCCGAGGATGATTTCCTCAAAGACTACGACTGCGGGTGTCCTCGATCTCCCTATAGAACTTCGCCTCTAGATCTACGCCTACATCATTACCTCAATTCCTGCAATGGCCTGGCCTACAGAAAACCCCTACTCCGAGTGTCCTCCCTATGTGAACCATATAAAGAAGGTCTTCGTTGCCCAGCGCATACCTTCTTCGCACGAGCTTCATAGCTACCGCGGCCTTATCCTCTCGTGCAAGACCGTCTATGACGAGTTCGAGCACGAGTGGCCAAAAGCATATGCTCCATGGTTTAGGAAGGAATTCGATGTTCACAGCTTCGTGCTCCCGACTATCAGCAAGATAGGCGACACGACACATCTCCGCATTGGCCTTCCACTTCCACCAGACGGCTGGCTCGACTCTCCGACTGACATTCAATACGTTGTCCGCAAGCTTGTTAACAACTTGCCTTCCTTCTGCCTCTACCCCATATCTTCGATTGCGTCTGATCACACACCGCTTACCCAAGAGCAAATTGCGCGGTTCAAGCTGGGCGCAAAAGGCAAGAAGAAGAGCTACTTTCTGCATGCGATGAGATTAGTGGCCCATGAGGTGACACGTCTGGGTACTGGCGTTAACACATTCAACTATCGCCCGATATTTGGGGAAGACTTTCAGAACATTGCGATGAACTGGGCTTGGAAAGAGGTGGTAGTTAGGCGCAAGGAGATGATCGAGTGGAAGGGAGTATGGTGGCGCGATTTCGCTTTCAAACCTTATTCTTTCAAGCAATCGCCAGATGGGTCCCTCACTCCGCATCACTACGGCCTATCGGATCCTTCTTTGACAGATTAATTTGGACTTTCGCTTATGCACGTAGGGTGGACGATGTTAGAAGCTTATGTAAATTTCCCGGCTGCGGGTGGACGCGTGCCTTGTATGAGAAATTGAATCCAGTTTTCAAATACGTATTCCAAAGATATACCTAACACCCACGACGCAACCCGTGACGAAAGCAACGGTATATACCTTCAGAGCAGACATCAATGTTAGCAAAGATCACTAAGAACGGCTCGAGTGTAGGCAAAGGTACAATAGGATTCAAGAATATGTTTCAAAATACCTATCTGTGCAGCGCAATGCAAATGTATCAGCGTTAGAATCCCCCATCATTCCTTCTCAGTTCTAGTTAAGCAGACCTTCCACAGGTTCCGGCCAACTACCCAGGATCATGGCATTGCCGGGCGTCTGTCCCGGCAGCGGACTAAGCAGCTTGACCTTCTTCTTCGCCTCGTCTACGTCCGCGACATAGATGTATCCCCTGATGCTGCTATCCCTGATGACGCTCTGCGGATCATTGGGGCTCGCTGTTGTAATAGCCAACAACTGGTTCTGAAGCGCCTCAGACGGTGTGACTTTCTCGAAGATCTGCCGCTCAACCGTCATGCCGTACTCGTCTATTCCGCCGTTTCCTTCTCCTTCGACGACACGGAAGATGTTTAGGTCGGCGGCGTCGGCCATTTGGCTGCTGGGAGCCAGTGTCTCGTCGCCTTTGCCGAAGAAGTATTCTTTGATTTGGGCATGGCGGAGGGCTTTCATGTATTCTTCGCTTCGGTCGACGCAGCCGCCGGACTTGTCAAGGCGGACTACGGACACGGTTTCGGAGGGGTCGCCGCCGGTGCGGGCTGAGAATTTGCGGGAGAGGTCAGAGTAGAGGCGTTCGGAGCCGAGGGTTATGACGACGTTGACTGTAGTAGACTGTCAGTATGATGATCTGATATTGTGTACGTACGTTTGATTGCCTGTCCTCTCGGAAAGTAGATAGTGGAACTTGGGTGCATGAATGTACGTGGGCGATGTTGGGAGGGGAAAGGCTGAAGTAGTATGCAAGACATCACACGCACCAGAGAACTCAGAAACAATATGTTCTATGTTGTCGTAGACGCCATTTCTCCCTTGGCTGATGGCGCCTGAGCTATCAATGATGAAGCCAGCCTGCTTGCTGAGCGTGTCCTCCTCCAATCTACTTGTGACAGCAAGTGCCATGCGCGTTACCAACGGCTTGAACACCCTGCCCTCCTCTGGGTCCTTGAGACCGTAGTGATATACCAGCGGCATCTTCACTGGAATGGGACTGGGCCCTGAGATTGGACTGCTGCCCCAGCCTTCTTCAATATCCACAATGGACGAGTATACAGCTGCTGAAAAAGAGCCTGGCACACTGAGCATACCCTGGCGCGGGTCGAGGTTCACGACCATAGGCTGCCGGCTGGTCTTGACCGCGTAAGAGGTCAAAGTCTTGACGAGTGACGTTTTGCCTGAGTTCTCAGGTCCCACAACAAGTATTCTGGGTCCCATTTCGATGCTGCCACTGGCAATACTCCTGTCGCGCAGGTTCTCCAGCGCGAAGTGTAGGTTCGCACAACTCATCATGGGCGTCTCTTCCGCGATGTAGTCTGACTCAACCTCTCCGCCGATGTCAAGCTTGCAGCCGTGCCACGTGAAGATAGCGCCCTTTGTGCCCTGGAATGTGTATACGGTAGACGGAGCCAGCTCGGTGCCGAAAAATTCTGCGGTGCCCGATTGCAGCTTCACCGTGAGTGTGCGCGAGAAGGCTACCTCGAAGCGGTATTCGGTGTTGGCAGCGAGGTCTTGGGTTCGTGTGGCTGTCGAGGTGGGGGCATTTTGCGCTTCGGTCGGCTGCGAGGACAGGTTGAGACCTGGTAGAGAGATCATGGTGGATATAGTGATGTGGGGAGACGCTGAAGCTGTGTAAGGACTGAATGCGCTGGAGTGTAGATATTTCTATGAGCTGGGTGAGGGGATCAGTCTGCACATTCGAATTCAAGTGCGCAGTACAATAGCGCCTGAGAAACCAGGTAATGGTCACGTAGTCGTCCAAGTTGCAGTGGCCAGGCGATAGGCGTGAAGAAGAGAGACGCGATCGGTTGAGGAACTGGGAAGCGCGTCGCAGCGAAGCTTGGGCCCTGCGGACTTAACACGAGCTTATTGGCGGAGCTGGTGGGGTGCCTTCCCCATGAAAGCTCCCTGGTCAGTCGGAAGTTCGTCAATCTATACCTCAATTGAAGCTCGTCATCTGTTCATTTCGCTTTTGATGATCCGGGTGCTTTGTCTTTCCTGTTTCACGTCATGTTCAACGTCTTCAGCTGAACGCCCTTTCCTCTGCGCCCCGTCCATCCTTGCTTTCCTCGATTACCGATAGCCATTGCGCAACTGAATCTGGCTGTTCTCGCGAAAGCTTCGAGTATCCAACGTGTCGCTTGGACCGTCTCGACCTAATATGAAGCAGTCATTAGCTTCGCTGTCCTTAGGGGCTCTTCTTACCGCCTCATCTGTGTCCGCTGGACTAAACAATGTCAAGGAGCAAGAACCTATGCGCCCTCCCATCGATCCACTCAAGTATCGAGCAGCCTGTCCAGACTATAAGAACTATGCGATGCGACCACAGTATGCCAATATATACATCGAAAAGAGCTTGTACTAATTCGTCTGACAGTCCGCCGTATAGCACCGGCCCCATGGAACTACCCTTCCAACGACCGTCCAAATACTGCCGAACCTTCGAATCGCCTCTCGTCGAAAAGGTCATCGATGATATGAACGAGAAGATGGTCGACAAGGACCTCGCTCGTCTCTTTGAAAACGCGTTCCCCAACACACTAGACACTACCGTACGCTGGCATGTCGGTGATACTGTCAAGCATAAGACGTCAAAGCGAAGTTGGGATCCAACAGCTTGGAAGGGAGCACAAAGTTTCATCGTTACGGGAGACATCAACGCTGAATGGCTACGCGACTCTACGAACCAGCTAGCACAATACCAGCTGCTAGCGAAGAAAGACAAGGAGATACACCAGCTCATTCTGGGAGCCATCAACACACAGGCAGAGTACGTCATCGGATCACCATACTGTAATGCCTTTCAACCGCCTCCACCGAGTGGCCTCAACCCAACCTTCCAAGGTGACGGCGACAAAGTACATCCAAACTACGAGGAGTCATTCGTCTTTGAATGCAAGTACGAACTTGACTCTCTCGCCCACTTTCTTTCTTTATCGAATCAGTTTCACAATCATACCGACTCCACCGAGTTCATCAACGCTCGTTGGCTCCTCGCTCTCGATACACTTCTCGGCGTGCTCAAGGAGCAGTCGAAGCCTACCTTCAACGAGAAGACTGGCGCATACCAGGGCAACGAGTACACATGGCAGCGCCAGACCAATATCGGCACCGAAACCCTTAGCCTAAGCGGTCTCGGCAACCCTCTCAATGGCGGCACAGGGCTCGTCCGCTCTGCCTTCCGCCCCAGCGACGATGCAACAATCCTCGGGTTCTTCATCCCCGCCAACGCCATGATGGCCGTCGAACTCCTCCGCACAGCCGCCATCCTCAAGAAAGCGGGCAAGAAACACATAGCCACTGAAGTGGAAACCTGGGGCGAGACAATCCAAAAGGGCATCTGGGAACACGGTGTCGTGACACACAAGAAATACGGCGAGGTCTTTGCGTTCGAAGTCGATGGCTATGGGTCTTCCATCTTGATGGATGACGCTAACCTGCCCTCCTTACTCGCTTTACCTCTGCTCGGCTTCACGGACACAAACAACAAGATCTACAAGAACACGCGCAAGATGATACTGGAGAAGAACGGTAACCCTTATTACCTCACCGGCTCCGACTTTGCGGGTATCGGCGGTCCCCACGTCGGCGTGCGGAACGCTTGGCCCATGGCTGTCCTCGTTCAAGCTATGAGTAGCGATGACGACGATGAGATTATGAAGTGTCTTGCTGCAGTCAAGAAAGTGAGTCCATTGGGACTCATACACGAGAGTGTGAATGTACAGTCTGGAAAGTCATACACAAGGAGTTGGTTTGCGTGGGCAAATTCGGTCTTTGCGCAGACGGTGTTGGATTTGGCGCAGAGAAAGCCACATTTGCTGTTTGGTAAAGGTGCTGAGGCCTATACTGTTGGTTGAAGGTAGAAGTATAGATCGACTTAGGAACTGCCTAGTAGTTGAAATTCAATCGTGTGTATGCATCGAGTGTAGTGAGTAACGAGATGTATTGCTGCGATGTGCAAAAACTTCATTGTAGCCAGTTATATCACAAGATCCCTTGCCATCTAGTATCCCTTTACCCCCTCCCTATCTACGTCATAGATCCAATCGAGGTATCCAGCCCATACAAAACGCTTCAAACCTAATGGGTATAGTGTGTGTCCAAAGAAAAGAAGACAATCAGAAAAGAAGAGAAAAACTAACTAGGCGATTAGAACATCGTACAAAACAACGGGTAATTAGTATGGGGGTATTTCAGGTCGTGTTCTCGCCGATTAACATGAAAGAAAAAAAGCACACGCTGGTTTCGAAAGATCGCGAAGAGATCCAGGCCGTCGCAAATCGTCGAATTACAATGTCGTCATCCAGGTAAGCAAAGCTCTTGCGTGTCTTATGATGTATACGCTCAGTTGGTGAAACTCATTTGGCTTCTCAACTTCTCGGTGGTTCTCCGTCTCGAGACAGCGCGGTGTCCGTCAGTAGACTTTCCTGAGACCATGTTCGTCCAATCTTCCCAGTCAGATGCCATCTCTGTGAGTACGTTACCCATGACCTGTGCACTAGCCATGAGTCCGTGTTGTTCGCCCTCGAGAATCCGGACTTCGCACTTTCGCATCAATTTGCCAAGCCATCGGACGTTGTCAACTGGTACACGCGAGTCTTTGGACCCGTGATGGATGACAACTGGCCTGTTGATGTCTTCGTAGCGGAACCCGATGGTCTGCTTGGTTTCGAGACAGACAATCAGATCAGTTGCGGGGTTTGCGTTTGCAGTCG